GGCCCTTTGTGCTGAGGCTGTCCTGGTGGGATGGCTGGAGCTGAAGTGGGCATGGGCTGGAGACGTCCCAGGCTCTTTGCAGAGAGGGTGCCCTGGCACGTCACCTACAGCTGAATTGGGGACAAGTTGGAGTGGGGGGGAGTGGCTTTCTGCACAGAAGGCATCCTGGCAGGACAGCTGTAGCTGAAGTGGGTACAAGCCAGGGGGTGGTCCCAGGGTGCTCAGCATAGGGCACCCGGGCAGGGCAGCTAAAATTGAGGTAGGTGTGGGCCAGGGTGTCCCAGGGTGCTACATGCAGGGAGTGCTCTGGCTGGAGCCAAGATGGGGCACATGCCAGTGTGTTCTGTGGGTGTTCTACACAAGGGGTGCCCTAGTAAGTCATCTGGAGCCGAAGCAGGTGCAGGCCTGGCATGTTTCAGGGTGTTTTGCACCTTGTCGCCTTGGTGATATGGCTGGAGCTGTAGTGGGTGCTGTCCTGAGGTGTCTGGTATGTGCTATACTGGGGCCATCATGGTGGGATGGCTGGAGTTCAGGCTGTTGGGGGGAGCCTGTTTGGGGGGACAGCTGGGGCTGGTGTGGCTAGGAGCTCTGGGCTCAGTAAAGGCAGTCAGCTGGCCAGGGTTACTGTACCCTGCTCCCATCCTTCCATGATCAAGGTGGAAGGCGCGGGGGGAAGGGGGATATAAACTTTAGTGTGTGCCAGTCCCTCTGACCCTGGAGAGCATTCCTGCAGCTCCTCTAGGGCGGTTTCCTTTATACTCTTGTTTTTTTAATCCATGGCTTTTTTTTCTGTCAACCGGGCAGAGGGATTGCAATGGTGCAGCCAACTAGGGTGCTGGACAGTACTCCCATCTGCACTATCAAGGTGGGGGGGGGGCATAAATGACTCACCAACCTCTCCAACCCCAGAGAATGTTCCAGGGGTTCCCTGATGTTTGGAAGACACTCAAGGGCTAGTTTCTTTAAATTCTAATTGCCCTTTTAAACCGTGGTTTTTCTGTGGCCCAGGGCACAGAAAAATTTGTTCCCAGTCCCTCAGTATCATCCGCCTCACTGCACTTTGCATCCTTGAGGCTGGGGTTCCCACGGTTACAGTGTCTCCATCTTTCCTGCTATTCTCTCTGGGACCCCTTTATCCTTTGTTATTCCAAAGCTTTTCCATCAGCTCTCAAAGTTCTTTAAGAGGAACTGTTCTATATGGAGGTGTTGACTCAGTGTATCCATGGAGGAGGTGAGTTCAGGGTCTCTGACCCTCACACCATGTCAAGTAAGCATTATTAATGCCAGTAAGTTTGGTGTGTTGTTCAAAAGCCACTTGTAAAATAGATGAGATATATAGGTTTTTGACAGAGAGAGACACAGCGAGAGAGGGAACACAAGCAGGGGGAGTAAGAGAGGGTGAAGCAGGCTTCCCCGTGGAGCAGGGAGCCCAATGTGGGGCTCGATCCCAGGACACTGGGATCATGACCTGAGCCGAAGGCAGATGCTTAACAACTGAGCCACCTAGGCGCCCTGAGAAATATAGGTTTTTATTAATTATCAAAATGAACACATTACTTTCCCTTTATAGAATGCTTTTAATGGAAACTACCATTTATTTTATTTTATTTAATTTTTTTTGAAGATTTTATTTATTTATTTGACAGAGAGAGACACAGTGAGAGAGGGAACATAAGCAGGGGGAGTGGGAGAGGGAGAAGCAGGCTTCCCGCGGAGCAGGGAACCCGATGCGGGGCTTGATCCCAGGACGCTGGGATCATGACCTGAACCGAAGGCAGACACTTAATGACTGAGCCATCCAGGCGCCCCTGGAAACTACCATTTAATTGATTGTTACTAGTTGAACAATAGATTGTTCAAGTCAGGATGTCACATAAAACTTTATCTACCTCTTTCTGGCTCTCTCTTTTATCCACCAAGATGATTACATCCACAAGAGACTTTTACCTTAACTGAAAGTTTAGGGGAAACTTGGTTTACAGTGTAGAAAATGATGTCAAGATAATTTAGAACTAATTGTAATGAATGTGAGAGAAAAACACAGCAAGAATACAGCAATACAGACACAACAGAGGAAAAAAATGGATTTTTTCAAACACTTTTTAATTATTTTATTGATTTATCTTATTATTCAAGTATAGTTGACATAATATATTACATTGGTTTCAGGTAAACAATGTAGTGATTCAACAAGATTGTACATTAGTGCTCATCACAGTATAGTCACCACTTCATAATACATTATTTAATATTATTGACTATATTGCTTATGCTCTATTTTCCATTTCTGTGACTTATTTATTTTATAATTGGAAGTTTGTACCACTTAATCCTCTTCACCTATATCCCCATCCTTCCCACCTCCCTCCCCTCTAGCAATGAGCAGTGTGTTCTGTTTTTATGAGTCTGTTTTGTTGTTTTTTATATCCCATATATAAGTGAAATCATATGGTATGTGTCCTTCTCTGCCTGACTTATTTAAATAGTACTCTTCTAGACTCATCCATGTTGTTACAAATGGCAATTGCATTCTTTTTATGGCTGAGTAAAACTTCCTGGTATATATACACGTCTTTATTACCCACTCATCTATAAATTGATGTTTAGGTTGAATCCATATCTTTGCTATTGTAAATAATGCTGTAATGAATATAGGGGTACATTCATCTTTTCAAATTAATGTTTTTATATTCTTCAAGTAAATACCTGGTAGTGCAATTATTGGATCTTATGGTATTTCTGTTTTTAATTTTTTGAGGAACTTCCATACTGTTTTCCACAGTGGTTGCACCAATTTACATTCCTATCAACAGTGTGCAAGGGTTCCCTTTTCTTTACATATTAGCCAACACTTGTCATTTTGATACTAGCCATTCTGACAGGTGTGAGGTGATGTCTCATTGTGCTTTTGATTTGCATTTCCCTGATGATTAGTGATGTTGACCATCTTTTTATGTGTCCATTGGCCATCTATAGGTCTTATTTGCAAAATGTTTATTCACGTCCTCTGCCCATTTTTTTAACTGGGTTGTTGGAGGTATCTTTGTTTTGTTGTTGTTGCTGTTGTTGTTTTGGTGTTGAATTGAATGAGTCCTTTATATATTTTAGATACTAACCCCTTATTAGATAAATCATTTAGAAATATCTTCTCCCATTCAGTAAGTTGCCTTTTCATTTTGTTGATGGTTATGTTTTCTTTTAGTAGTTTTATGATTTCACATCTCACATTTTTGGCTCTTTAATCCATTTTGAGTTTATTTTTGTTTATGGTGTAAAAAAATCCAGGTTTCATTCTTTTGCATGTAGCTATTCAGTTTTCCCAGCATCACTTCTTGAAAAGACTCTCTTTCCCCATTGTATATTCTTGCTTTCTTTGTTGTAGATTGACCATATAAGTGTGGGTTTATTTCTGGGCTCTTTATCCTATTCCACCAATGTATTTGTCTATATTTGTGCTAGTATCATACTGTTTTAAATACTATGGATTTGTAGTATATCATGAAATCTGGAATTGGGATACTTCCAGCTTTGTTCTTTCTCAAGACTGCTTTGGCTATTTGGAGTCCTTTGTGGTTCCAAACAAAATTTAAGATTATTTGGTCTACTACTATGAAAAATACTGTTGGCATTTTGATAGGGATTGCACTGATTTTGTAGATTGCTTTGGGTAGTAGGGACATTTTAATGATACTCATTCTTCCAATATTCATGAGGATGGTATACCTTTCCATTTGTGTCATCTTCAACTTCTTTCATCAATATCTTGTAGATTTCAGAGTATACATCTTTAACTTCCTTGTTTAAATCAATTCCTAGGTACTTTATTCTTTTACTGGATGGAATGTTTTAATTTTGCTTTCTGCTAATTCATTATTAGTGTGTAGAAATGCAACATAGTTCTGTATATTACTTTTGTATCCTGCAAATTTACTGAAGTCATTTATAAGTTCAATAGTTTTTTGGTCGCGTCTTTAGGGTTTATTATATAGAGTATCATGTCACCTGAAAATATATAAAGTTTTGCTTCCTCCTTACTAAGTTGGATGCCTTCCTTTTATTTTTTTTCTGACTGCTGCAGCTAGGACTTCATATGACTTTATGTTGAATAAAAGTGGTGAGACTGCATATCCTTGTCTTGTTCCTGATCTTAAAGAAAAACTTTTCAGTTTTTCAATATTCAGTTTGATGTTTGCTGTGGGTTTTTCATATGTGGCCTTTATTATGTTGAGATATATTCCCTTTAAGCCTACTTTGTTGAGAGTTTTTTTTATCATGACCAGATGTTGAATTTGCTAAGTATCTTCTCTGCATCTATTAAACTGGTCATATGGTTTTTATCCTTCCTCTTGTTAATGTGAGGTATCACATTGATTTGCAAATATTGAATCACCTTTGCATCCCTGGAATAAATCCCACTTGATTGTGATGAATGATCCTTTTAATGTATTGCTCTATTTAGTTTGCTAATATTTTGTTGAGTATTTTCACATCTATATTTATTAGGCATATTGGCATATAGTTTTCTTGTAGTGTCTTTGGTTTTGGCATCAGGGTAATTCTGGACTCAGGTGAACTTGCTAATTTTCCTTCCCCTTCTATTTTTTTTAATAGTTTGAAAAGAATTCATATTAATTCTTCTTTAAATGTTTGGTAGAATTCATCTGTGAAGCCTTTGGTCCTGGACTTTTGCTTGTGGGGAGATTTTTTTTTTTTTAACTGATTCAATTTTGTTACTAGTAATCAGTCTTTTCTGATTTCTCTTTCTTTGATTCAGTTTTGCGAGATTGTATTTTTCTAGGAATTTACACATTTAGGTTGTCCAATTTGTTGACATTTAATTTTTCTTATCTCTTATAAACCTTTGTATTTCTGTGGTGTCAGTTGTTATTTCTACTCTTTCATTTCTAATTTTATTTGCGTCTTCTCTCCTTGTTAATGAGTCTGGCTAAAGGTTAATGAATTTTATCTTTTCAAAGAACCAGGTCTTGGCTTCATTGATCTTTTCTATGTTTTGGTGTTTTTTTTTTTTTTTTTTTTTGTCTTATTTCTCTCTAATCTTTATTTCCTTCTAATGGCTTTGTTCTGTATACACAGTATATTCCATCCAAAAACAGCAGAATACACATTTTTCAAGGCGTACATGAAACATTCTCCAGGATAGACCACGTTTTAGGCTACAAAACAGGTTTCAACAAATTTAAGTCCCATCTGGTCTAATATGTTGATAAAACCTTGTTTCCTTAATTGATTTTCTGTCTGAATGATACATTCATTGATGTAAGTGGGGTGTTAAAGTTCCCTACTATTATTGTGTTTCTCCCTTTATGTCTGCTAATATTTGCTTCATGTATTTATGTGCTCCTATATTAGTCACATAGATGTTTACAATGTTCTGTGCTCTTGTGGAATTGATTTATCATTATGTAATGCCCTTCTTTGTCTCTTGCTACAGTCTTTGTTTTAAAGTCTATCTTGTCTAAGTATTGCTACCCTGGCTTTTTTGTTACTTCCATTTGCATGCAATGTCTTTTTCCATTACTTCAGTTTCAGTCTGCGTGTGTCTTTAGGTGTGAAGCAAGTCTCTTGTAGGCAGCATATAGATGGGTCTTGTTTTTTTTATCCATTCAGTAACCCTCTGCCTTTTGACTGGAGCCTTTAGAGCATTTAAATTTAATTATTGATAGGCATATACTTATTACTATTTTGTTAATTTTTTTTCTGGTTATTTTTGCAGTTCTCTGGGTTCCTTCCTTTTCTTGCTCTCTTCCCCTGTGGCTTAATGGCTTTCCTTAGTGTTATTCTTGAATTGCTTTCTCTCTACATTTTGTGTATCTATTACAGGTTTTTGATATGTGGTTACCATGGTATTCATGTATAGCAATCTATATTAAGTTGATGGTCACTTAAGTTTGAACACATTCTAAAAGCACTAAATTTTTACTCTTATTTTGCATATTTTTTAGTATCTCTTGACTTTTTTTTTTTTTTTTTAAGATTTTATTTGTCAGAGAGAGAGACAGAACACAAGCAGGGGGAGAGGCAGGCAGAGGGAGAAGCAGGCTCCCCGCCGAGCAAGGAGCCCGATGTGGGACTCGATCCCAGGACCCTGGGATCATGACCTGAGCCGAAGGCAGCCGCTTAACCGACTGAGACACCCAGGCGTCCCTCTTGACTAACTTTATTGAATTTACTACTTCTGCATTTTAACTTCCATACTGGTTTTATTAGTGATTAATCTATTACCTTTACTATTTGTTTTTACCAGTGAAATTTTCATCATTTTCTCCTAGTTATGACCTTTTCTTTTTAAAGAATTCCCTTTAACATTTTTTTGTAAGGCTGGCTAGTGGTAATGAAATCCTTTGATTTTTGTTTGTCCGGGAAACTCTTTATCTTTCCTTCAATTCTGAATGATGACCTTGTTAGGTATTCTTAGTTATAGGTGTTTTTTTTTTTTTTTTTTTCCTTTCAGCTGTTCGGTGCATCATACCATCTTCTGGTCTGCGAAGTTCCTGCTGAAATATTAGCTGACAGCCTATGGGGTTTTCCTTGTGTGTAACTATTTGTTTTCTCTTGCTGCCTTAAAAATTCTCTTAATCATTACTTTTTGTCATTGTAATTATTATGAGTCTTGGTGTGGACATTCTTTGTTCATCTTATTTAGGGCTCTCTGTGATTTCTGGATTTGGATGTCTGTTTCCTCAGATTAGGGAAGTTTTCAGCTATTTTCATAATCTTCTCCTTCTGGGATCCCTGTGATGCGCCAATGTAATTATGCCTGATGAGGTCACAGAGGTCCCTTAACCTACTCTTATTTTTTAGTCTTTTTTTCTTTTTGCTGTTCAGCTTGGGTGCTTCCCCTTACCTGGTCTTCCAGGTCACTGATCCGTTCTTCTGCCTCCTCTAGTCTGCTGTTTCCCTTTAGGGTATTTTTCATTTCAGGTATTGAATTCTTCATCTCTGACTGGTTCTTTTTTATATTTTCTATCATTTTTGTTGAAGTTCTCACTGAGTTCATCCACTTTCTTCAAGTACAGTGAGTTTCTTTATGGCCATTACTTTGATCTCTTTTTCTGTGATTTTGTCTTATTCTTACATTTGGGATATATTCCTCTGTCTCCTCATTTTGTCTAAGTCTTCTGGTCTTGAAATTAGTGGCCTTGTGTAGAAGCAGTCCTGTGGTGTCCTGTACACAATCCCCCCACCCGAGTCTTCAGAGCTGGGTGCTCCAGGGATGGCCCCTGTGTGGGCTGCATGTACTCTCCTGTTTTTGATAAGGTGTGATTGCTGTGGGCATGCCACTGGTTGGCCCTCAGATGGCCTTCAGCGCATCTGTTGCAGGCATACAGGGCAGGATTTGCTCTCCATGCTGTTGAGGGTCCTGTCTACAGCAGCTGTGGGATCACTGGTGGGCAGGGCCTGTCCTCAGCATGGCTGGATGCAGTTAGCCATTGCAAAAGCTGTGGGCACCCCAAAGTACAGGGCCTTCTCCCTGCACAGTCAGCAAAGAGGCCCAGCCCCAAGAACTGTGGGCATGCTGGTTTGTAGGGTTATCTCTGCCTCCTGTCCCCAGGGCAGGGGTCGCTTAGAAGGGGCACCAGTTCTTACCAGTGTTGCCTGCTGGGTATGGTGGGTCTGCAGGGGAACTCCAGGGTGGGCACAGGGTCCTAGCAAGGTAGATGGAAAGTATTAGAACTGGCTCCCATAAGCATCTGGCTACCTAGGCTGGGGAGGGCAAGAAAATGGCATCCACCACTTTTGTTCCTGGAGAAATCTCCTGTAGATCCCTGTCCCTTTGGCACATGTCCTAAAATTAGTCACTAAATCCCCTTCAAGTATACCCCAGGTGTTTTGCAAAGTGCTCCTTCTGCACTGTGTTGGACCTTATTATTTAGTGTCCTGGCTCTTGAAGGGCTTCATTTCCTGTAGCCTTCCATCTCTCCCAGAGCCAAGCCCCACTGATTTCATAGCTAAATATTATGGGGACTCTTCTTTCCAGGGTGGATCCCCAGGGCCAGGGGGTCTGGTGTGAGGTCTGATCCTCTCACTCTTCTGTGCTTGTGATATCATTCCCATTTGTGATTAGGCATTGTCAGGGGTCTGGTTCTCCACCATGTCTCCACCTCTTTCTGATGTGGCCTTCTCTCTACAACCAGCTGTCAATGATCTCTGCCAGTCTTCAGGTTGTTTTCAGAGTTAGTTGCAATCCATGCAGTTGTTGCTTCATTGTGTCCACGGAATGAGATGAGCTTGGGATCTTCCTATTGTTCCTTCTTCCTACTCCTTAGGAGCTCTTAACGTCAGTGCTTTCTTTTCATTTGCAATTGTACATGACACATTACCAAACCAACAACCACCAGGACATAGTATGGTCCAAATACAGCAGCTCCATTTCTGTCTTGTTCTAGCCAGTCTTTGATGCCTCTCATCTGTCCATCAATATCACTCACCCAACCTACAAGTGGGAAAATTGGTATAAAAGTAATTGTAGAGTTAAGAAAACAAAAATGCAGAGGGAGTATGGTCACTTAAGTAGAAGCTTTGGCTTTTTTTACCCTGTGAAATTTGGGTTTTAGATAAATAAAAATTGAATATACAACTGGCTTGCTGGGCCACCTAAGGCAAATCACTTCATCTCTTAGGGCCTATTAAATGAGGATTAAGAAACTTAATGAAGTCCTTGAAATTAACATAAATCTAAATCACTGAAGCAATTGGTAAATTTGGTCTCAAAGTTGATACAATTTAGAGTTTCCTTAAAGAAAATTATGCACATATCCACATAGATTTCTGGATTCTGCTACTGTGTAGCCACTAAGGATTTGCATGATCTTTCAGCAAAAGAAGCAACCAGCAACAAGCAAAACAAGAAACTATGTTTAAAAAGTCACTAAGATCAGATCTATATACTGTTCTACAAGACTAGATACAGGATAGTAGGGCTGATAAAGCCAATACAGTACAGAAGCAGGAAGTGATGGGAGGTGCTCTGTGGCTCAAGGGTATAAAGATTAGTTTTTCCAAAAGCTTTTTCAGTGGGAATTACTTTCTTTACACTCAGGGTTAAAGTCTCCTTTTAATGCAATAATGTAAGGAAGGGCGGGGTTACAAACTCATAGCTCCAAATGAACAAGGCCTGGGAGAAACAAGACTAAAATACTGACCAGCACAATTATCACTTTAGAACTGAAGATAGATGCCATTCCTAATGCCATGAGGACTGTACCAAGGGCAAGGGAGATATGTGCTGGCGACAGAAACAAAAACAAAAACAAAAACAGATTGAGGACTTTCCTCACACCCTTAGCCTTTAATATGAATTGAGAAAAGTAAAAGTGAGCATTGTTTCAACTCTTAAGAATACCAGACACTGTCAGCACCCCAAATTATCCTGTAGCAATCAGCCTGAGGCCTTACCCTGCCTGGAGGGCCCCCCCTGCCGCCAAGGGTGCATTATAGAAGGCTTCTTACCAACCTTATTATTTATTCGACTAGGAAGTCTACTTTGGATGGTATATATTAATAATTTAAGCCTGCTTACTCTCTACTAAAACCACACGGGTTCTGGTGGGGATCATGAGTAATAAAAGGGCACAAACAAAACACTTCTAGTCTGTCTCTAGGAAGATTAGAGTGCTGAGTTACTGGAAGATGTAACAGTAAATCATCAATTTGGATTATAAGGATTTGGCATTTGTGATAATTTGAACAGAAGCCAAGGAGATTATTTCTGAATAACATTAAAAATAATTACTACTTGGCAGAGCTTGCGTTGGTGAGGGCAGCCCAAGCCTGGGCTACTTTGCCAGGCTGGAGTGTGCAGTGTCCCCTGCTGCAGTTTTGTAATAAACCCTGCTTTTTGGGTTGGTGTAAGGGTGCTTCCTCCTGGAGGAGGAAGGATCTATAAAAACAAAAATGGAAAGGTTTAATAATGTTATTGAGGAAGGTCTTAATTAAATGGCACAGGGTTTACAAACATTATAATAACCCAAGTTTTTGTATTAAAAAATATGTAACAGTGTATTTAGCAAAGTAGTTTATCAAATGGAGTTGGAAACCCATCATTTGTTTCAGGATTTCCTTTTTTGCCTAAAATCTAGGGACTGCTATGATTTCCACCAGAAATGCTATTTTCAAAAACAGAATAAGAAGGCACTCTCCTGAAAAAAACACTTCAAGTTTATAAGTAAAACCAATTTTTAAACATATATATATATGTCAGGGCTAACATATCAAATGGAGGTGCATAGACAGTATCTAGATTCCATAGGTTGTCAAAAGATTCTCCCTATTCCCACAGAACTTAGCCTCTACCAAAACCATACTTATCAGAGAGCAAAAGTGATGGAAAGATATTCAACTAGATTTTCATCTAACTCGGTGACAAAACAGAATCCATGACTTTCATATCTCAATGCAGGCTTCTACCAGAGGAACTGAGGTTCAAATTGAAGAGGCAGCAGGAGATTCAAGGCACTCATCCAAATAGGAATTTAAGATATAAGCCTTCCAAACTCTGAACTAATATAAATCTACGCTATTTATTACACCCACTCTTTTTTTCTTTCTCTAGAAAACAAATGATGATGCAGTTGATTTTGATTATACCGTTCTACTCCATGAATTCTCGACACAGGTAAAACAAAATGGAATGTATGTTACACGGTGGTGGTGGGGGGGCAGTAAAGTATGGTCCAAACTGAGAAGGCCCCTTGAGACCAAAAAGCAAAGCAGGCAGCTCCACATTTACATAGAGTTTGATTCAGGGTAACTTGTTGCCAAGGGGGGTCGGCAGGCAGGGATCGAGGCACTGCACAGCTCTTCTCTGCAAAGTCCAGACTGTTCATTCACAGATCTGATAGAACAAGGGGATGTGCAGTAGCCATTGTGGTGCGGTCAGGGGTCTGATATTTTAACAGACCTCATGGCACCATCTGTGCGGGGTTGGGGGGATCTCTACTAGTGATCAAAATAAGCCTCCCTGCATTCAGGACAGGGCACACATTACCTCCGAGGGGCCTGGAACGTGTTCCTGAGGGAGGTCACTGCCCGGACATGAACAAGACAGAGGGCCAGAGGCTGAGTCAGTATGGCCAGCACTCCTACAGTACAGAACTGTGTTCACCAGAAATTTCTGCAGATCATAATATTTTAGAACTCTTATTTTCTAGGAAATCATTCCCTGTCGTATTCACTTGGTCTGGTACCCTGGTAAACCACTTAAAGTGAAGTACCACTGTCAAGAGCTACAGACGCCAGAAGAAGCCTCTGGAACTGAGGAAGGTTCAGCTGTGGCACCAACAGAGCTTAATTTCTGAAAAGAAAAAAGGATCTGCTTATACCAAATTCTAAACAAAATGACTATACTAAATAGCCTAAATAATTACTCTGATAAAATAGGTAAGGTATAAGGTAGTCTAATATTTGAGAAAGCCTGCAATTACAATACTCAAAAATTAAAAGATGCTTTAATTCTGGGAACATAGGCATACACTGAACTCTGCTCAGTGCTAAACAGTTTCCTCCACGGGTTTCTCAGGGTTTCAGCCCTAAAATCTAAAAAAGTTAGTGTATGCTGTAATTGGATCAATAAGTGTTTAGCAAAACAAAACAAAAATTGATGGTCTCACCTCTGTATTTCTCATTACTGTGAATGTAGTGCAACCAACCATTTTCTATTGCTAAATTCCTTCTACCTAGGATGTAAAAAAGATAATATATCGCAATGAAAGCAAATTGTAGGGAAAATGTTATCAGTTTAGAGGAACTTTACTATTTCTTATCATTCCAAGCAAGTATTCTTTTTTGATATCTACTTTTAAATAAATGTTTACATTTCTATATAAAATGTGTTCACTGTGTTTGTAGAGATTTGTATACATTGGCAAAATTTGTGCTAAACTGAATAAAATTAACTTAATATTGCTTAATTCGAATTTTATAGATAAAAATATAGTGCTTCATGGATAAAGCCAAGTGTCTGCAAATGGAATAGTGATGTAACTGAAATTCTAACAGTTTGCACCCAGTATTGCCCTAAATTAATTTATAAAAGTAAACACAGTATGTACCATAATCAAATTCAGTAGAGTACCTCCCCAAGGCAAGAAGAAGTGATCCAGGAAACGTGGCCATCATTTGCCTTTCAAAATTCGTATCATTTGTAGGGAGGAATTCAAATTTTCTTCTACCCATCAAGGTTCTTCCATCTGGTCTAAGACTTTAATTAATTGATATGAGACAGATTAACAGGAGAAAAAAAACCAGAGAGGCCTAATAATGCAGTTGAGACCCAAAGAAATGACCAAGGCAGGCAGTTTTTATACTTTTTAAACAAACAGTATAAATCTATAAGGAATTGGCAGGACAAAGAAAACTTAACTTTGGGAGCCTCAATTAGTAAGGAATTCTAAACAGAATCTGGACTGAGGTAGTAAATTAATAACAAGTAACCAGGGTTGTCTATGTAACCATCTTAGCTCTTAAATTTCCTATCTCTGGTTACGATGTCTCTTTACCTCATGGTATAGAAAGAGTACCTTTTCACATGGGAGATTTATTTCCAGCTTTCAGGAAGACAGAAGAGGATCTGAGTGTCCCTCTTGTATAGTCTGTCTCTTAAGTAACTTTTATTTAAAATAATCAATATGCCAAAGGGGACATTTTGGGGTGGCCTGCCCTTGGCCTCTACAGTCCCTACCACGGAAGCTTTCCTGAAAGTTTCACATATTACAAACTGAGCTGTAGATTGTTCCTTCTTGTTGAATCTCTTAGTTCTGACAATAGGTCAATTCAGTTAAACTCGTTTCAGGACATAGTAATGTAGGTGTCTTCTCAAAGTTAAGCCTGTGGTTCAAATAATCAGGTAAGAGGCATTTCTATGGAAATAAAAAAAACAATGGTTAAGGACTGGATCAAATTTATAAACCAGTTTCTGAGTACTGAGGGTAGTTAGTCGAGAGGACTTCTAGATGCAGGGTTAGAGCATCTTCAGATAGGTGCTTTTAGGGGTGATGATGGCGATCTGACAGATTTTCTTTGTAGTTTGGGTATTTCTGGTGATCGTTTTGAGTGGCCCATAGAACAACAGGCATGAAGATTGAGCTGTTGTGGTGATTTCTCTGAATTTTACACCAAGTTGTTCATATTCAGTTCGCAGGGCTTTAGGAAAAAGGCCAGTTTTAGTTCTCAAATGATTGCAAGTCAAAAGAATGGCAAAGAAATCAAAGACATTCATTTGGAGAGTTGTAGCCAGGCATTGGAGGAAACTAAAATCAGGATCTAGCCCAGTTTATAATGAACTGTGTTAGAATCTAATATCCACAAAGGAGGGTTAGTGAAACAAAATTTTTCTCTGTATAATCACCCTTATTTTTACCAAAGATAGCCAGATTAAGGCTAATTTGTTTGCAAAATAAATAATAAACTTGGCCTGATTATTTTATATAAGTACAGCAAGAATAGTGATTGATCCTAAAGGCTCTTTTAAATCTGCTTTGCTTGAACTTTTTGTAAGGAATCTTCTGACTGAATTTTTAATAGCCTCTGAAGTTCAGAAGCCAAGCCAAATACTTGCCATGAGACTTTGCCTATAATACCTATAGTTGGGGTTAATTCCTCTCTTCTTGAGGTCCCCAGAATATCCTGAAGTTCTTGTACCCACAATGTAGTGACCATGCTTACTCACCTAGTAAGGCTGCTTGGATCCCTGTAAGCAAGACTTTCCATAAAGTCAACCTTAAAGTTGTATGGCCATGTCTGAGTCTATTCATGTCTACCTCAAATACAATATTCCGGTGAAAATCGTGGTAATATAACCAGTGTTTCCAATTGTGTCCTGTTACAAGGAGAACAAATTTTTATTTAACTTATGCAAATAAAAAATTGTTATGAAAATATAAGAATACTCAAAGTTTAGGAATTCTGGGAAGATCAGGTAGGGAGAAAAAGGTAAAATATACCTTTGAACAAATTGAAATATTTATCAAATTGCTGTAAGTCATAGCATAAGAGAAAAACTTTCCCTTAAATCTGAAAAAAAAACCCAAAATATTAAAAAAAATCATTAATGGTTACAACAGAAATGTCACAGAAATTATAATCATCCTCTTCAGTTCATTCAGTCCCATGTTACTAATTCTTGTTCTGCTTGAATCTAGTTTTTCCACAGTTTCAGAAATTCTTACCCCATTCAGTTTTATAATCAAGGTCATCAAAAGAAACCTGTACTCAGAGTTCCTTCCACGAGTCTCACTGAAGATGAAACACATCTGCAGGGAAGCTTTTGTGAAAGCATCTGAGTAAAAGTATATGTGTCTGTAAATGATTAAAGACTTAAAAATGGCCACAGTGATATAGCTGATTAGAATGAATTATAATGCAGTGGACAAGTAAATTTGGTTGTTTCTGTGACACATAAAACATTGAGATAACATACTAGGACATATCAGATTTCATACAATTTTCTAAACAATTTTTTTTTTTTAAGATTTTGTTTATTTATTTATTTGACACAGAGAGAGAAACAGCATGAGAGGGGAGAGGGTCAGAGGGAGAAGCAGACTCCCCACTGAGCCGGGAGCCCGATGTGGGACTCAATCCCAGGACTCCGGGATCATGATCTGAGCCGAAGGCAGTCGCTTAACCAACTGAGCCACCCAGGCGCCCTAAACACTTATTTTAATAACCTAACTATAGAAATATAATTTAAGAGTGTTTAGTATCACTTATTGCCAATGCTTCCCATGTAATTGAACATAACAAGCCTAATTAGTGTAATATACCTCCCTTTGTATAAGGAGAACAAATCTTTTGAAATGTTCCATTGGCCCTCTGGAATATTCCAGAGTGTGGTTAAAAGATTTCATTTTAGACTTTGAATTTGGCAGGTTTCTCAAAAAATATCAAAAGGTTTGAACATTTGATTAAATGGGCTCACAGATCATTCTGAAACAATACTTATCTATTTAACCAAAGTGATAAAAGATTTCAAAAGCAAGTACAGAAGGTTATATAGTTGTGAGCAAGGCGGCTCAGGTTTTTTAGATAAAGACCCAACAGAGACAAAACATAGCATCTTTGTGTTTCTAGGCAGATTACATGAAAGGTAAAGGAAAACTGTTTACAAACTCTTATAAAAAGCAAATCAATAACCTAAGAAAATGTTTTCCTTTTAACAGAAAAAAAGAAAAAAAACCAAATTCTAATTTTGTACTAGTGTACTTTTGATAAAACTCATTTTTTTTTCTTTTTAAAGATTTTATTTATTTATTTGAGAGAGAGAATGAGATAGAGAGAGCATGAGAGGGGGGAGGGTCCGAGGGAGAAGCAGACTCCCCGCCGAGCAGGGAGCCCGATGCGGGACTCGATCCCGGGACTCCAGGATCATGACCTGAGCCGAAGGCAGTTGCTTAACCAACTGAGCCACCCAGGTGCCCCAAAACTCATTCTTAAATAAATTTAATCTTAGCCAGTAATGACCACGAATAAAATTCCTTTCCAAAGGCTCCTTTGCTATGAACCTTCTACAACTTTTTTTACATTCAGATTTTGTCCTAAGTTTTCCATCTTCAAATAATTAGCCTCACTTTAGGACAAAATTGTTTTCTTTTCTCTCAACAAAAATGTATTTTTTATATCTCATACTTTTTCTTACCAAAAACATCTTACTTTTTCCTTGAATACAGAGTTGTTTCTCTTACTTCTAGTACATTTAATACCACATATTAGAATTCCTCACCCTTAGAAAATTTAATCTCTAGGGAAAACTAGTAAGCAATTGTGAATTACTGTTACACCAGTAATTTTTACACTGGCAAATTTATGAATGCATTTGATAATTTCCAGAAACATGAGTTTCTTCATAGTGTAATCTTTTAATAAAGCACAAAACATGTTTACTAACAGACCCAAATTGATTTTTAGTTTCTCTGTAATAAGGAAGCCAAAGTAGATAAACTTATGCTTAGTAATTAAAGTTTCTTATTTTGTTTAATTTGGAAATGACCTAGATATTCAATGAATTCAACAAAATTCATCACTTAAACTTAACAAAACTTCAAAGTTTCAGGGTTACCAAAAAGATCTGGGGGAAACTGTTTAAAAAGTTGACCTAAAAACTTTTTTCTTATTTACATCTATTCAATTTACTTGTTCTTAACAAGTATGCTTAAGTCACCCATAAAAACTTCAAGAGATAGCAAAGTCAGTCATCCTCCCAAGCTATGATGATTATTTTTTTAAACATTTTGTAACAGATAACATCAGCTTACTTGACTCTAAGTAAACCCACGCAGAATAAAAGTTTTAATTTTAATGCTGGTAACGTTAAAAACATGTCTATTTTAAACCAGCAAACTTAAATTAGCTTCAATACAGAATACTTTTTCAGATCATGTGTTTCTGAACTTGAAAAACATCTGGGTTAGTTTCTAAGAGTTTTAGAATGCCCAATGCTTACAAGGGCTTGCCTTCAAACCAACTAAATAGAGCTCTTTTACAAACTAATTTTGGCTAGATAGATAGACAGACATACAGATACAAATAAAAATCTTACAGCTTTTGTTTTTACTAATATTTGTGGTGAGGACATTATAGGCCTGATTTCCAACCTCTTTTTTTGTTGTTTTTCTGATGAGAAACTTCTTTAAACTTGTATTTCAAAGAATGGCTTTTAGGTCCCAGAGAAGATGGGGGTAGAAAATTTACATCACAAAGACAGGAAGAATCCAAGTTTTCTTCAAGGTGAACTTTTTGGGACATACTGGCTTCTTTTTTTTTTTTTTTTTTTTAAAGATTTTATTTACTTATTTGACAGAGAGAGACACAGCGAGAGAGGGAACACAAGCAGGGGGAGTGGGAGAGGGAGAAGCAGGCTTCCCGCCAAGCAGGGAGCCCGATGTGGGGCTCGATCCCAAGACCCCGGGACCATGACCTGAGCCAAAGGCAGACGCTTAACCATCTGAGCCACCCAAGTGCCCCGGGACATACTGGCTTCTTATCAGAGCTGCTAGTCTGGGCATAACAGCACTTTTAGCAGTCTGTATTTCAAAAAAGCCTCTTTTCTCTTTTTAAAATACCATCTCAGGTGAAATAAAACCAAAAATAAAGTATTGGGACTATATCAAAATAAAAAGCTTCTGCAGAGCAAAGTAAACAATCAACAAAACATAAAAGACAACCTACTGAATGGAAGAAGATATTTGCAAATGACATATCTGGTAAACGGTTAGTATCCAAAATATATAAAGAACTGCTACAACTCAACACCCAAAAGCCAAATAATCCAATTAAAAATGGGCAGAAGACACGCACAGACATTTCTCCAAAAAAGACATCCAGGGGCGTTTGGGTGGCTCAGTCGGTTAAGCATCTGCCTTCAGCTCAGGTCATAATCCCAGGGTCCTGGGATCAAGCTCCGCATCGGGCTCCTTGCTCACCAGGAAGCCTGCTTCTCCCTCTCCCCACTCCCCCTGCTTGTGTTCCCTTTCTTTTTGTGTCTCTCTCTGTCGAATAAATAAATAAAATCTTAAAAAAAAAAAAAAAAAAAAAGACATCCAGATGGCCGACACATGAAAAGATGCTCAACATCATTCATCATCAGGAAAATGCAACTCAAAACTGCAATGACATCACCTCACACCAGTCAGAATGGCTAAAATCCATTAACACAAGAAACAACACGTGTTGGAGAGGTTGTAGCAAAAAAGGTTGTGGCAAAAAGAGGTTGTGCACTGTTGGTGGGAATGCAAACTGGTGCAGCCACTATGGAAAACAGTATGGAGGTTCCTCAGAAAGTTAAAAAGTAGAGCTACCCTTTGACCCAGCAATTGCACTACTGGGTATTTACCCCCCAAAAATATAAAAACACTAATTCAAAAGGATACATGTACCCCTATGTTTATTGCAGCATATTTACAATAGCCAAATTATGGAAGCAGCCCAAGTGTCCATCCATAGATAAATGGATAAAGAAGATGTATATATACACAATAGAATATTATTTAGCCACAAAAAAGAACGAAATCTGCCATTTGCAACAACATGGATGGAGCTAGAGTGTATTATGCTACATGAAATCAGTCAGAGAAAGACAAATACGGTATGATTTCACTCATGTGGAAACAAAACAAAGGAAAAAATAGACAAACCAAAAAAGAGACTATAGTCAAAAAACAGGTGGTTACCAGAGGGCAGGTGGGTGGGAAGATGGGTGAAATATGTGAAGGGAATTAAGAGTACACTTATGGGGCACCTGGGTGTCTCAGTCTATTAAAGGACCGACTCTTGATTTCAGCTCAGGTCATGACCTCAGGGTTGTGAGATCCAGCCCCTTGTCAGGCTCCATGCTCAGTGGGGAGTCTGCTTTTCTCTCTCTCTCTCTGCCCCTCCCCCCACTCATGCTCTCTCAAATAATCTTTAAAAAAAAAAAGCCCACTTATCATAATGAGCACTGAGTATTGTATGGAATTGTTGAATCACTATATTGTATACCTGAAACTAATATAACCCTGTATGTTAACTATACTGGAATCAAAATTTAAAACTTAATTAAAAAAAAAAAGGTGGGCTTGAAAGACTTCTAGAGTTGCATTTCTGGTTTTGTAACGCTTTGTAAGACAAAGAGGGTTGTTTCCAATTTCCCCAAAGAAATGGATTATAGACTGAATATTTATGGATTGCTCTGCCTTTTTAATTAAACTTATTTTTTTAAAGATTTATTTATTTTAGAGAGAGCGTAAGAAGAGGAGGTGCAGAGGGAGGGGGGAGAGGGGGAGAGAGAGAGAGAGAGAAGCAGACTCCACGCTGAGGGTGGAGCCTTGTGATGCAGGGCTCAACACAGGGCTCGATCCCACCAAGCTGAGATCGTGACCTGAGCTGAAACCGAGAGTTGGACACTCAACTGACTGAGCTACCCAGGCACTCCAAAAACTTTTATTTATTTATTTTTTAAAGATTTTATTTATTTATTTGAGAGAGAGAGAATGAGAGACAGAGAGCATGAGAGGGAGGAGGGTCAGAGGGAGAAGCAGACTCCCTGCCGAGCAGAGAGCCCGATGCGGGACTCGATCCCAGGACTCCAGGATCATGACCTGAGCCGAAGGCAGTCGCTTAACCAACTGAGCCACCCAGGCGCCCCAAAAACTTTTATTTATTTTTTTATATCAGGGAGATTTTCAACTAAAAAAGGAATCAAAAGATTTATGCCTTTATAAAATCTGTATCAAGCATTTTAACAAAAGTCATCTTTTCTTAGTACAGAATTTAACCTTGGCTTCCGTTAGTGCCTGAATGTTGGCCTTCCCCGGTTCATTTGTAGGAGGGCTAGGAGACATTTTGGTCTTGTTTTCACTCTGTGAAGGGAGGGTTTCTCCAAGGGCCTGTCTGGCCAAATAACCACAGTATCATCATGGGTGGAGGAACTCACCTTAGCAGCCAATCAAGGTCTCTGTGAGTGGGCCTGGGAATAGCCATTAAGCTAATTCTTCTCTGAATTTGGTGGGATCTTCTGAAAGTGGAGGAAAAAAGGCTTTTCAATTCACAAGATCTGCTGCTGTTCAGGAGACATGGGTTTTGCAGTGGCGGGGTCTAGGACACATCTACGAAGGTACTGCCCACAAATTCCTGAAGCTGACAGGGCCTGATTACAGCAAAGCAGGCCCTACTGCCTGTCCCAGGTGCTTCTGCTACATGCACTTTCTGGCTTTCAGAATGTACATGACTAGCTTGAGTAACCTGTCTACTTTGAACTGAGAGACTAGACCAGAGTGTGCTCTGTAAATCTTCCAGGGAAAGTTAAAATAGGCAGATGGGGCTGGATTTTAAGAAGGAATTTATGTTAGATGTGGACATTAATGTCTTAGGTCTAATTTTTTTTTCTTTCATCTCATTCGGGGCATCCCTAAGTTTAGTGATTATACTAATCAGACAATTGAGAACTCTCCATAAATGTTTCCTTGCAAATACGGCCAATTTAAAGGACCTCTCTTCCAGCTATTGACAAGTAGGATCTTATTAATTCCAGTAGCAACTCAAACCAGTAAGCCCTTTGATGGCGTAATCCAAGACGCAAGAGGTGTCCCTAGAGAGGGAAGATAGCGTAGCTGCCATTATACAAAAGTTTCTCTCCAAAGACTGTCTAGGCAAGCAAAGGACTTTGTTGCATAGGCCGTAAGGATGATGTAGCGAAAACGGTGTTGTCAGTCTCCCACAAAAGTAAGTAGACCCGCTAATCTCTGACAGCTGCCAGACACTACTAGACTTTCCAACACTAACAAGCAATGAAGGATAGATGACGAAGGCCCCTTATGGGCTAGGACCTTTTATGACAAACTCCCTTGAGAACTGGCATGCCCAGACGAAGTGGGCTGCTTGTAACTGCAGGTCTTGGAACCCCAGTCTATTTGGCCATCAAGTTGCACACCAGTAAGTGTACCGTCCAGAAGGTGAAGACCAGAGAGAATATTCTTACTGATCACGAAGCCAAGCTCTTAGGACATATGACAAGATGAAAGGAAAAAATCTCATCTGGTTTTTCTGATGTACACATTAACAGCTTTAGCTATCTGCTGGGTCTCTCAGAGCCAAACTATTTAATAACTACGAGGGATGTGCCGTGGGTTGCAGACTGTGTGGTGTTAGGCAGGTGACCTATTGTTAATCTAACCTGTTCTGTGACCAACTTATCCTAACATGGGAGTCACTGAGTTAGGCAGTAAGCACTCTAATAGCTTTTAAGTGCTCACCCCATGCCCACCAGTTTTAGGCTCTGGCTTCCAAGATTTCCCGTGGCAACAACCTTTACCTCACGTGCACATTAACTCACAGTCAAGTTTGTCTGAGCAGACACCAGTCTGATGAGAGCCATTTATTCATAAGTCTGTGAGGCTGGCTCAAACAGGGGGCTTCTAGAGCCTACGCCTGCTTTCTGCCCCATGGAAATTCCTTTTTATGACAAACGACACAAAACACAGAGACAAAGGAAAACAAAGACCATCTCTGGGAGGAAATGGATCACTAACAGTACTCAACCACATTTTTACCAAGACTTGCTAAGTCCAATGTATTAGTTCCACAAGATTGTTTCTTGCTAATCTAAATTTAGAGAGAGGAAAAAAAAAAAAAAAGATTCTCATTACTCTCACTCCACCAGATTCTGCAGACAGAGATTCTGGGAGGCAGACATGGAAAGAAATCTTACCTTCTGCTGGTTGTATGTCAGATTTCCCAATATCTTAAAACTGCAGAATCTTCGGAGTAACTATCCCGTGGAAGCTGATCCTGCAAATATGCCAACTATAGGGGAGGAATCTAAATTTCATTCAAGGTTCTTCCAGCTAGTCTAAGAATTAAATTGATAGGTGACAGATTTAACAGGAGAAAAAAGAGTTTTATTATATGTGCAGAGAGGCCCAATAATGCAATTGAGACCTAAAAAAATGAGTAGTTTTTATACTTTATAGACAGAGACAACCTGTGAGGAATTGACAGGACAAAAAAAACTTAACTTTGATTAACCTTCAATTAGTAAAGAATTCTAAATTAGTAACAAGTTACAAGGGTTGTTTATACAGCTTTCTTGGCTCTAAATTTCCTCTCTGATAATAAGGATGTTTCTTTACCTTGTGGTACAGAGAGGGTGCCTTTTCACCTCAGAGATTCATTTCCTGCTTTCAGGGGCATAGAGGGTGTGATCCAGGTGTCCTTGTGCAGTCTTGTCTCTTATGCAACTTTTATTTAAAATAATCAATATACCGAAGTGGGACATTTTGGGGTGGCCTGCCCTTGGCCCCTACACATTTAATGGAATGCTTATGTCAGTGTCTCAAAACGGTTAACCAGGATCCTTGGTTAGGAAGCATCAGCCTTAAAATATCCCAAAATATTACTCTTAAGTCTATACTGTCAGAAAATTAGAAAAGTTTATGCTGAAGAGAAAAATTTTACAGACATGGACTATTACAAAATAAAAACGAACAGATACTTTTTAGATCTAGTCCATATATATATATATATTTTAAAGCCCTTTGCTTCATCTTCCCAATATCCACCTGATTTAAAGAACTGTTAAGTATCCTGAAGCACTGGAAACAATCATTTAAATGAAACACCAGATCTCCCACCTACGTAATAATGCAAAGAAAATACTTTTTCTAAAATATCCATCTACAATGATTAAATTATGTCAAAACCAAGCAATAAGCTCCTTTAAATGAAGTTCCCTAAATAATCTTAATTTAACCTTAACCTTAATACAAAGGTGCCAAGAGCATTATAGTAATAATGTCAATGTCCTGTGATCTTTTTTTTTTTAAAGATTTTATTTATTTATTTGAGACAGAGAGAGTGAGAGAGAGCACATGAGAGGGGGGAGGGTCAGAGGGAGAAGCAGGCTCCCTGCCGAGCAGGGAGCCTGATGCGGGACTCGATCCAGGGACTCCAGGATCATGACCTGAGCTGAAAGCAGTCGCTTAACCAACTGAGCCACCCAGGCACCCTGTCCTGTGATCTTTAATCAACTTTTTAGTATCACATTAAGGGCTAGAAAAGGGTTTCAGCTTTCTACTGTCACTTATCTCAAAGTCCTCTTCCTCATGAAAGCATTTTTTAATTAATGAGATTAGGCTCACAAATATGACCATTATTCAATTTACAGATTTATTTCAGTACAATAGATTACGAAGAGGAATTCTACACATAGACAACAAACACAGTTGTCTAAATCTATAAAACTCCCTAAAGTTAAACCAAATATTTCTCACTAATATCACAATAAGAACATCTTCTCTAGCACAAACTCTAAAATTGCTGACCTGATTTTACGAATATTGATTTTGCCAGCTAACAGCAGAGAAAAATTATTTCATCAGCTTTGACATAAAATGAAAACTCTAAATTCCCTAAGTCTTCTTTTCATTAGGAGCCTAAATTCTTCTCAACCACTGAGCCAATGGCAGGTATATATAGCATCACATTTATCTTCCTAATCTCTAGAACTTTCAAAATTTTAAGACATACAAAATAATACCAGGATTTTGTCTGCATCCCACTGCCTTCTGTTTCATTTTTCCTACCTGAATTATGAATTGTTAGAAATTAAACAAATTCTTCTCAAAGTCATTTGGAAGTTTCTATATTTGCCCTTGAATGATAGTTCTTCATGAAATGAGTTTATTCCACCAATTTCGCTCAGCTTAGAAAATTCTATGACCTGTTCTGTGACCTTGCCTAGCTTTCAAAGTGCTACAACCACCTAACTTGCTACCTGGCACTTATTTGAATGGACAAACGAATAAATGAATGCTCATAAATAAATTGTAAATACAACAAACTGTTTCAAGGGTGCATTCCAGTGTTATTTGAAGACACTTTAAGCAGCAATTAAAGCTCTCACTCACCAATTACAGTTTTAGCAATGCAAACAGTTGTCTTCTTACAAAGGGATATACTTCTACATGGTCACAATTTACTACTACCTGGTGGCTGCCTACTTTCATTGGCATCAATTTTAAAACCCATCCAGATTTCAAAAATATTAAAATATGAAAAATCCTAACACTTCAGGATTTAATTTTGATGATTTTACAACTAAATAATCTTAAGAGTGAGCAGGGAGGAAAAGGAATAGACAGAAAACTGACCCTATTTCTTTAAAGACAAAGTTGTCAAACTAAGAACCCATATAGCCCAACTCTAACATCACACAAGAGAAAATGAAAAATGTGACACAAATAAATAAATCTTCCATTTCATGTCTCGGAGGTGCAGGGAATACTGCTCTTTAAACTTTCCTGTATATTAGAATCAAGTGGAAAACTTTTGATCTTGATCCAAAGAATCCAAGCATCTAGAGACTGGACTGGGCAATTCTTTTTAAAGCTCCCCATGTGATTTTTAAAGTGCAGCCAGAATTAGTGGGTTGGGAATCACTGCAATACTGCCTGCCTAGTGCTGTTACTCTTCTCCAACACAATACTGTCTTTCTTTAAATTAGCCAACAATTATCCTTCGTAAGAGTAATATAAAAAAATCCTCATTTATGAATATTCTCGTTAATTTTTTCCTTGCTACAAACCTTGGTTGCTACGTGGTCTTTACCAGTTATAACCAAACTAATTAGCAAGAGATGGCAAGAGATGCAGGTTCTGGTCCTCGATCTATCCCTGTGTCATCCTACTCTTGTTACTCCCACCAGCCAGGCCTGTGTTTTTGCCTATGAAATGCTGGTGTTGGATTAAATATCTAGGTTTTTTTCTGATGCTCTGTCTTTATAACCAGAATGTTTAACAAGTTAAAAACACATCAAAACTTACCCGTCTTAGTTCCAATATTCCTAACTGTTGGCAATAGCCAGAGAAACTGTACTAAATTCTGGGAAGGTATTTCCTCCTCAGGAACAATTTTCAAAGTCATTGTCAATAGCATGAGCTGCTGATGAAATGCCACAGCCAATATTATTCAGGCTGGATGCTACGATAGCAACAGACATATTCATGGGGAAAATGCATGCGGTTTCACGAATACAACTAATTACCAACTTGAAAATTTAACAAGCTGTGTGGTCTTGGACAAGTTATTTACCTTCTCCGTGCTTTTGCTTCTTCTATTTCAAAATGGTAAATAGAAGTGGCTAATAGTACCCACTTTCATAGCGTTGTGACAACTAAATTAAATGCACTTAAAGCATTTAGCAGATACTTCGAAAACATGCTCAATACTTCAAAAAATCTTTTAATAGAAAGCTTAAGTTATAAAGCCAAACCTATAATCAAAAAAAAGAAAGGAATTTAAAACTGTTATTTTATCTCTATTATCCACTAAGAGAAAGGACAAGGAAATGCCTCTCCCATCAGATGATTTGGGATGAAGTAATCCTAAACAATATGGTAGTACTGTTCAGGAAAATCCAACCTATTCTAGAAACAAAAACTTAACATTTGTTCTTTCACAATGTCAACGAATACAATATATGATATTCCAACAGACTCAAATTCAACTAGCGTTTACCAGGTGAATGAAACTGACCAGGCAGCAACTATGTAAATTATGTTTTATTATTCAGAGTTGCAGAAACATTAAAATGAACATAGGTAAGAATAGCAATATGCAAGGATCTGCTTTTCATTTTAAAATGTCCACAAGAAACTAACATAAAAATAGGCATTTACAAATTTGCAGAAGCCACAAATTGAAGCAATCACCTATATATAAAACAGCTAGAAATTTACTAGCCATATTACATAATATTCCAATGAAGAATCTGAAAAATGTTCTCTATTAAGAGCATGGGAAATCCACTCTGAAACAAAAAAGTCTTGTTCAAGTGGGTGTTGGTGGTACAGTGGTGAGCACAGTTGCCTTCCACAAAAGCCTGCTTATTAAAAGAGGACACTCCTAAGAAGTGTCATGATATAAGCAATTCACTTTCAAATTACTGTTCAGCAAAACAATAATTTAAAAAAAATTTAAATATAGAGGTATGAGACAAAGACAGATAAGGCAAATATGACACAAATAAATTATTATGTGATGAACAAATTGTTAACAAGATTGTTCATTATTGAGTCTAGATGGAAGGTATAGACCTGTTCTCTGTACTGCCTTTTTCAGCTTTTCTATATGGTGAAAATTCTTAGCATAAGGTATTCGGAAAGGAAGTTTACATACCATTCTACGCTTAGAAGTATAACTGAAATCCGTCTCTTCTTCCCTTAGATATTAAATATATTTCAGTAATAGTCATATTTTATTTGATGTTTTTCAAGGAACTGTAAAACCAATCCACAGAGTTGGGATACACATAGAATTATCTTTGAATATGACAGAAGCTCCTGAATAGAATAGGAAGGGCTTCTAAAATTTGTTTCAGCCTGAATTCATTCCACCAGAATCCATTAAAGTATATAAATCTCGCAGATTCAGTTACAGCTAGTCAACTTAAAGTGAGGAAAGTTAGTTCTTGGCTTTTCCCTTTTTTACAGGAAGTTGACCTGTAGCTTCTAAGTACTTATTGATGAGGTCTTCTTGTGTGGACGGTGAACAAGGCTGATATCTGCAGTACTCCATTGTGTATTCTCCCTTTCCCTAAGGAGTTAAAAAACAACAGATTTTGTTTGTTTTGGTACATCTACCAAGGAAAAGTCATGCAAAGACAGGATTTCACATATTTAAGCACTGTGTAGGGCGGTTTCTTAAAGAGCACTTGAATAAAGTTTAAACACCTGCTTACCTCTGTGCATGACCTAAGTTCAGTGGAATAACCAAACATACCGTTTAGAGGGACCTGAAAACAAACACAGAGGATATTTTCGTATTGCTTATTGAAAAATATTTGAGAAAGTACAGAAAAGCCTTAGGCATTTAATTCCTTTAGTCTTAAGTTTCTACTAACTACTCTTGATTTAAAAGAATTAAAAGCCAGAGAAGTATATTTTTGCTTTACTGAACATCTTATTTAAAAATAATTTAATGTGACAGTCACAACTAGAAACCAAATTTTTCTGTTTCACAGGGTGGACAGCCCTGACGGCCTTCCCCCACCCCATACCTACTCCACACTCTGGCTGAAGCTCCAAAATGGACAAGTGCTTCTTCTGCGAAGATGTTAATACAACTTTCCTCTGGACACCTCAATAATATGCTGATAGTAGTGTCTTCTAGGCGGCCTTATGTAATGTGACAGACACTTTCTCCCAGGAGATTTAAGTACAGGCAATGGAACTCAGTGTTACCCAGTAAATCAGAGATAACATGATAAAGCAGCTATACAAAGGAAACTTGTAACAAGAAAGAAAGATAACTTTTATACATCTAAGAAAATGACATATTCACAAAGGCCCACATAAATCTTATTTTTAGCTTTTGCATTTAAGAGTTGCTCTGACAGCAAATTATAGAAACTGCCAGAAATACAATACTCAAATAGCTAAGAAAAGTGTCAATTTGCTCCACACTCTCCAAAACAAACTCTCCAAAAACAAAAACTAACTCTCATTTCCATCTGTGGTTACTAAAAGCAAGTTTGTCAGTGACCAATTGTACTTACATCTGCATACAGTGTAAAATAGTCCTCAATCCCATCTTGTCCTGTGATTACCCCATGGCGCCGGTTAATTCCCGCAATCACAGGTCCATGAAATTCATTTGGGGCTATAACTTCCACAGACATAATAGGTTCAAGAATACATAATGTTGCATTTGCCAAAGCTGGGTTAAAAAAAAAGACACAAATCAGTTTATTAATCTTTAAACAAATGGGAAATCTTCCTTACCCAGATATACAAAAGGGAGAGTGCTCTCCAAAGGTACACACATGAGTGATGAGGTTCAAGTATTTGACCTGGACTTTTTTTTCTGGTAGCAGTAACAGTCACTCTCCTAAATGGAAATTCCAATAAGACAACACATGATTACAGTATTAATATTTCTATTACTATATTTTTATCCTTAAACATTACTAAGCTGCGGAGAATATAAAAGGGGTCTTCAAGCAACATTCAGTCAAGTTCTTTACCATCTAAATTATCCAGTTGAGGGTTACTTATTCTCCCTCTCTGAATACTTCGATGAGTAAGGACACTCACTGTTAAGTCTTTGACCAGGTAAACCAATTATTTCTGGTTGGTCCCTAGAGGATAGTTATTTTTAACTGTAAGAGAGTAACTTCTATCATATATTTGGAGACAATAATCAAGTCACACTTGAGTTCTGTCTTTCCTTTTCTAGGCTAAGCAATTTCAACACATGATTAAGAATCAGAAGACCCAAGTTTCTAGTTTCTGTTCTGACCCTAACAAGTTATATATGCCTTAGATGTGAAGAGACATCTAAGCACGAAAACGTTGTGTGTCCAAACATCTTTAACCCCCTTAATACCTAACCAGAACACTTCTTATTGTGACAAATGCTGACTGAGGGTTATATTTAACAATGTGGAGAGAACAGAACAACATTTCAAACATTCATATTTAATTTGTATGTTATGATAGTGTGGAATAATATTTCAGCCTCAGACTGGATGAATTATCTCTAAATAAAGATTTTAAGCAAAACAGAGAAAAGATGACAAAGAAAATATTGTTTTAAGATAATCACAGCTTTCCAGGCATCAGTTTGTTTATAATAAATTAATCGGCAATCATTCTTGTATATTCATTAAAGCACTTCTCTTAAAGACACTATTAGCTTAAGTGCAATAATTAAAGAACAGCAATTTAATATGCTTGGATTTCTTTGAAATACTTTCTAATTCAAATCATAGCTCATACCTTTGACTACTTAGTCTCAGTGAGTGAATTCTGTTCTAAAAAGAGAAAGAACTGAACTTTGCAGACTCCTAAGCTTTCTCAGTTAAGCCCCGAAGAACCCTGCACAGACATCTAAAGCAGCAGATTAACAATTCCGGACTGTAGGAACAGCTCCGTTTCTTGTAATGTCGTGGGTTATCACAATACCAGAGTTTCCCTGGCTCTAAATAAATGCAATCAATGCAGAAGACACCCAGACAGACAGATGTGAGCAGACATATTAAGATTTAGTACACATTACCTAGTGTTTTCAATAGGTCAGTAATATAAAAGAGCTAGACTGTGAAAGGGTCATCATATTTTAAAGGGAAGAAAGGGCCAGGTATACAGTGCCCATCACTTAATTGCTGAGGATGTTCTGTCCAGTTCTCAGTTTCATATTCTCTCATCCTGCTCCTTTCAACTCCCCCTTTCTCCTTAAATTCACCTCCTGACTCACTTCCAAAGAATCCTGTCCTTATCCATGCCTTCTTCTAACCCACTGTGACAAAACTGGAGAGAATTCACCCTGCCCTATTCAACAGTCACATGGCAGCCCACTCCTAAAAGCTAAGTTTCCTTAAGCAGATCCATGTGGTCTATGGCTTTTTAAGATAGCAAGTAAAAATACCAACATCATCACAGGCACTTTTAAGCCTGAAGTGATGAGAAGAGGTGGTAACATTTTTATATCAGGCCACTAGGAATAACGTTGATAACACCAGGCCAGGTGTTGAAGAGGTCGTCTGAGGTGGTGTTCAAGGGCTAGGACTCTGGGCTGGGTTTAACGCTCAGCTCCACCACTATCATGTAATCTTGAGCCATTCAATAAACTACTCTGAGTCCTGATTTTCTCAACTCTAAGGTCACTGTGAACATAAGATATGATAATTCATGTACTCAGCATAACACATAGCACATAAGTGATCAATAAATGTTATTATGAGCACTCGGAGACAAGAAGTTGGGAATGGTGGCATGGCACAGTACCAGGTCAAAGGTAATATGAAGGAAAGAGTGACTAGCATTCACTGCCCAAGTATGCATGTGCAAGTGTTTTCAAATACATTCTTATATTTAATTTTACATTCTCTCATATATTATTATGGAATTACTATCTCCAAGCAGCTTGGGGGAAATTCCTATGATTTGCACATTTCCACACAGTAAGCATGGAACAGAGCTGGGATTTAATCTCCAAGCCCATCACATAACGGGGCAGAGATCAAAGGGGTGCTGTCAAGTTAAATGAGCTACCCTTTACTTCTAGGCCTTTATTTCTCTTATGGAATGGCTACAAGTTTGAGGTTTCTGGGGAGACCAAGCATAGTGCTCTAAAACCTGGCCACAGAAAATGATGGCAATGGTAACATTCATAAGGTGAAACATGCCCAAACAGAACATTCAATTCTAGATTCAGTTTTAGTTACATCACTGATTAATCTCAGGGACAAAGTTTAAACTGTGACCCAACACAGTTCCAGTTTTCATTTTTTTAATGAAAAAAAAGAGAATCTGAACTATTTTTCTTCCAATTTTGATAACAGAGAATGGCTCATAAGTCTAAACTATTCTGATACTGGGCTCATTTATCAACATTTTCACCCCAAAACTCTCATATGGCACTCAACAGAGGCTTATGCATGAAAAGCTGATTTTCTTACTGAATTAAGGAAAACTTCCTTTCACCCTATACACTTCTGTCTTTCAATCCTGGATGACTGAATAACAGATGAAGAAACAGCAAAGTAATTCATTTTTCATGCTAGCATGCTGCTGTTTTGTACATGTTTATCTGGCAAAAAACCAAAAAAAAATTCTCAATTACTATCTAGTACTTTTCCTTTGCACACCCACCAGGCAGTTAATCATACTTAATGTCTGTACACTTAAATAATTAAAAAGTAAATGGCACATAGTCACCTGTTAATATTAGTAGATATACAGACTGTTTTCATGGAATCATATGTGTAAATTATGGGCATATACATCTACATTTAATTATATTTCATACAGGAGCAACTAAAAAAGATGATGAGGCTCTTTGTTAACTGACAACCATACCAATTATCTGGCTTTGTGTAAACTCTATCTCCAGGAAAGCTACTAATTTCCAGTCAAGAACCAGATAGAATAATTGGTGATTTCTAATTCAGCTGTGCTTGTATAAAGTATCATATGTATATAAAATCATCACATGTACACTTAAAATATCTCACAATTTTGTCAATTACACTGCAGTAAAGCTTTAAAAAAAGGTACAAAAGTGATTACAACTAATTTGTCTAGTTTAAGATTTACTGAAGTGGTAAACACCCTAAAGGGCAAAAGAGGCAGGTGTTTTAATGTGAATCATGCCTAAGAAAACCTTATTTTCTTTGTGACTTAATTTCCCTTTTTGCTATTAATACAATCTTCAGATTATGACAAAATTTCCAGATCACAGATTTCAACTGCATTTTTAACAGAGAGCTGGCATAAAGAAAATGAAGGATTTTCTCTCCCTTTCACAACTGAGAAACTAAAACCACAAATTACTAACGGTTGCCATTAGTTTAAGTAATAAAAAGAATTAGCAACCTGGCCAAGAAATGAGCAACCTTTTCCAACACCTGATGGCAGATGCAAACAGAAAAACAACACGAAGTCCAAAATTCATACAGAATCAATAAAACCGTGATTTACAGAATGCTTAAAAGATATGATTTATCTAATTTTTACTGTCCATTTTGACCCTCTCTTTGATAAAAATGTTTCTGAAATGTTTTATAAATCATAATTCTTTTCTTTTCATAATATAATTCCCTTGTGTAAAGATACTTATGGACATTATTAATAATGAATATGGAAGAGATGACAAAGAGAATACATTTTCTGGGTTCAGGACACAAGTTTTAAGTTCCTTTGTTGAATAACCCTGATGTCAAACTGTTGTGTTATTTGCTTTTCTCTTTTAAAAGCAATGAATCACATATACTTGCAATTGTTTAGGTTTCTGGTTCATCAGGGTTTTAATACACCGGTTATTCTGTGTGGAAAAGGTTGACAATTCCAGTTTAGCAAGGGGTCTGCGCTGTAAATAAAGTTTACTGAGTTCCTTCAAAATATGTTGCCATCCTCAAATGCCTAAAAGCCTACAATGTCATACATTACAAAAATTACTTACAAACTTATGGATTTCCTGGCATCTGAATAAGTCACTAAAAATAGCATGACTGTAATGTTTCTATAAAATATTTCTTAGTACTCCAAGCACATCTATCTTATTAAAAACACAACAGCCAAAATATGGAAAGAGCCCAGATTCGACGAATAGATAAAGATGTGGCACGTGCGCGCGCACACACACGCACACACACACGCACAGGAATACTACTCAGTCATCAAAAAGAATGAAATCTTGCCATTTGCAACGACGTGGATAGAACTAGAGGGTATCATGCTAAGTGAAATAAGTCAGAGAAAGACAAATATATGATTTCACTCATGTGGAATTTAAGAAACAAAACAGATGAACACAGGAGAAGGGTGTGGAAATAAAATGAGAAATAAGAGAGGGAGATAAACCATAAGAGACTTAACTACAGGAAACAAACTGAGGGTTGCTGGAGGGGAGATGGGTGGAGGGATAGGGTAACTGGGTGATGGGCATTAAGGAGGGCACTTGAAGTGAGCACTGGGTATTACATGCAACTGATGAATCACTAAACTCTACCTCTGAAACTAAAAATACGCTATATGCTAATTAATTGATTAAAAAAAAGTGGCAAAAAAACAGAACTTACAGATTATCTATAAATTTAAGCATATGAAAAATACTAGATAATTTAGGACACAAGGTAGTTTGTAAGAAAGAGAACACAGTAATCTACCCTCACTTCAATTCTATAAATATTTGCCCAAAACCTGCCATGTTCCCTGGTGGGCTGTCTAGTACTCTGGTGGGACAAGACTAAAACACTGCATTGCATTCTGAGTCTCTGATGGTCTATCAGGGAAAACAGACACAGTGTTGCAGCAAGTGCCAGGACTCAGAATACCTTGTTTAAGAGCACCTTCTCCTGCGCGGATGAAAGAGATTTCATTGGAATCCACCATGTGGTGCGCCCCATCTTGCAGGACAAACCGGAGCCCAGAGAGCTTGTGACCAGAAAGAGGGCCTTTCTCACAGGCATCCAAAAACCCCTGTTAATGAATAAACACAACTTCTGGAGTCAGTGGATTTCACTTGCACATGAATTAAGAAGAATACTCACACATTTATACTGTTCAGAAGTTAAGCATTTTTATGAATACTACATTTCACCCCTCAAAAATAAGTTTTAAAAAGTCGGACAGCTTAACTACTTAAATTTTATTACTGTGGCATCCCACAGATGAAAAATCCCTTGGAAAAGCATATCACTTAAAGATGTGAGCTGGTTTGAAAGTGATGCTGAGAATGCTAACACTTAACATCTTCAGGAATTACTTACCTCTTCTAACCCATTATACAGATGGCATGCTCTTAATTTTATAAGGAGGAAACAGAGGAAAGGCAAGTAAGAGTATCTCCATCAAACTTGGCATTGATTCAACGGCCATGTCTTGAGCTCCCACTATACACACATCACTGCTTTGCCTCATGGCAGACCACAACATGATAGCTTTGGTGTTACACACGTCAGTAAGAACTGGAATTCAGAAGTAATTTCACTTTTCCTAATGCAGTTCTTTTTTAAAAAAACAGCTTCATTGATGTATGACTGACATACAATAAACTAAACATATTTTAAAAGTACAATTCTTTTCCAGTCCCTTCAACATTTGTAGAGCTCCCACAATTCAAGTTTTTAGTTTTTCTTGGCAAACAATCAGATTGCTGACATATAGTACAATATATTTCTGACACTGCAAAACTATAAACTCTAAAGTATGTTGAAAAATACACAAGTTAGCCTTCACCTACATTAATCTTGGAGAATAGAAGATAACTTAAAAGTATGAGTGACAAAATACTGTCCTGAAATAAAGTATAATGAATGAAATACACTAATCACAAAAAATGCTACCACCACTAAAACCAAAATAATCTATTAGTAAAGATTTCTAAGTTAAAAGGGTAAATGAAAACCTAAAAATTTCAATGTATGAGAACAGACAGTTGCTGAAGGTTTACAACAGTCTTAAAGCCAGTGACCTAGAAAGCAAACAAAACACTAACCTCTTACATGTGCAAAGCACTTCACAATTTACAAAGAAATGTTACAGAGTATCATCTGATACTAAAATTGGTGAGGGGTTTAAGTTTAGTCTTCTATTTACTCATGGTTTACAAATGAAGAAACTGGCTCTGAACAACATGATTTACCAAAGAGCACATTAACCAGTAGCAGGGATGTTGGGAGTCTTGATGAATGATCATGCTACTACAACAGTAAACTTGAAACTTTCATAAATTCCTAACAACTGCTACAAATTTTAATTGTTGATTGCAACTTACAAAGTAGGTTCAATTTATCAAAAGAAATAAAATAACTATGATTAAGAAACAGAATGAGGGGTACCCTGAGTGACTCAGTTGGTTAAGCACCCAATTCTTGATTTCAGCTCAGGTCATGATCTCAGGGTTGTGAGATTGAGCCCTCCATCAGACTCTGCACTGGGCACAGAGCCTGCTTAAGATTCTCTCTCTCCCTCTGCCCCCTAGAAGAGCGCTTTATATATGAAAAGTGCTTAATAAATATTTGCTAAGTGCATGTCTTTAAAAAGCTGGCTACAATTTTGAGATGGTTGGACTATGAGAAAGCAAATAAGTCCTCTTAGAGAAAGAACTACTGCTTTGTTTTGGAAAAAAGAAACAAACAAAAAGAAACAGAATGAATTCCCCCTCGTTGTCATAGTATATATTTATAGCTCTTCAACCTAATGGAAGATTCTAAATCAGATGGAAAGTTTAACAATCAGATAAAGAAGCAAGACTGTAACTAAAATGAACCATGTAAGACAATGTGATAGAAATAGGATTTGAGGGGCGCCTAGCTGACTCAGTCAGAAGAGAATGAGACTCTTGATCTTGGGGTCGTGAGTTCGAGTCCCACGCTGGGTCTAGAGATTACTTAGATAAATAAAACTTAAAAAAAAAAAAAGAAAGATGATTTGATACCTAATTAACTGGTTGAAAAAAATGTAATAAAGTTATTTTTGTTGTTACCTTTTCTACTGCAGGCACAAACTGCTTTGGAATATTAGCCCCGAATGTTTCATCTAAAAACTCCAACTTAGTGTAGTTCTCTGGGTCCAGAGGCTCCAGTACACCGATCACTTTTCCAAACTGGCCTGCACCACCTGACTGTTTTTTATGTGTAAATTCAAACCTGAAAGTGATTTAGGAGGGGGAAAAAACAATATAGCATTATGTTAATTCGCAAAATGAAATAATTCCTACTGATTTAAATGAAAAACCACATTTCACCATTATTACTTGTTCCTTTGAATACCTTGCCATAAAATTTTATTGTAAAATTTATTTAAAAAGTAATTCTTTCTTTCATGTTTTTACTTGGAGGTGAGAGTGAGGTACAACACCAAAGTAATCCACGGTTTTCTTTAATTCTGCCAATTCTTCACTTCACAAGTAGAAAAGTAAAAGTGTTAAAAGTCAGTCTAAGGTTCGTGCTCTAGTAACCTACATTCCAAAGAGCTCACCCTCTTCTTTTGGAATGCCTCCCTTCCCCGGGACATAGTGTTGTTCTCTTCTTAAATCTCTACAACTAAAGACAGTTACTTGAAAACAGGAGCTCTGCAGTTAATTTATTCAGATCTGAGTTTACTACTTGGACTTTATGGAGTGATGCAAGATGAGGGAAGGGAGTTTCAGGTGGATTAATACCTGAAAACAGTAATGGCAAAATGATGACTAACATCAGTCAGTCATTTAAATAGACACATATACAGACAGGTCAGTGTTTACTTCAAACCACGAATTGCAACATAAATAGAATAAGCACTTTATATAGATATTAAACATTTGTAAACATACACTATTTCCCTGAAGAAAACATTTCATGAGTATCTACTACCTGTAAAGCATTTCTTCCTTTAAACCGAAACCTTCCTCAAGACCTCAAGAGGAAAGAGGCCAGCCACTTTCAAAATTATCTCAGGTAACTGCAGGTAAATGGACATTAACAAGCCTGTTCCTACCTACACATCTGTGCTAGTTTGGAATTAGTAAATATTCATTTTGGTAGGAGATGCCAGCTTGGAATATGTGGATTTCATAAAAAGCCTAAGTGTGAATGTGCCTGATGAGCTGCCTTTAAATAATCTTCCAGCTGCCAAGAGATTCAGGACAGGCTGAGGAAAACAACCGCTGAAAGGAGAACTTTCTCTCGGAACTAAGAGAACAAAAGTAGAAGGGAAACAACTGGCAAAGCACCACAGAACGACTGCAGGGGCTCCACAACCGTGTCTGGTGACCAAGTCGTGGGTACGCGCAAGGTCTCCAAGACATTTACAGTTTTGTTTTCAATTTGACAAGAATATAACATTGATACAAATACACGCTCCATCTGTGCTATCTCTAGGGTAGTCACTAACCAGGGATGTTTACATTTAAGTTAAAATTTTGAAAAAATTTAAAATTCAGTTCCTCAGTTGCACTGGTCACATTTTAAGTGGTCAACAGTCAAATGGGGGAAGCGGCTACAGGACAGGGCAGCACAGAGAACATTTCCAGCACTGCCCGGTAGGACCAGTTCACAGACCAGTAAGTTTCAGGGGCCACGTCTGAGTCATAATCAAGTGGATGCTGAATAATGAAACACGTAGGTGCCAGGCTTGTGCTAAGCAGTTTTTATGGATCGTTTTGTTTGTTCTTCACCACAAACTATGATGTGTGTACTATTTCTATCACCATTTTACAGATGAGAGAGTAACTGGCCAAACATGATGCAGGTAAGTGGCGGAGCCACGATTTGCACCAAAACTAATGCTCTTCATCAAACATTTTTCTAGAAGGCTAATAAGAACATAAGCTGATGCAACCTGAAAATGATGATTTCACTGGAAAAGCTGTTAGAGGGCGGTACATGAAGATAGATTTTACAGTCGCTTAGACAAAAGGTAGAAGAACTAAGACATGGCTTGGTAGGCAGCGAACAGGAGTGCTGGAGGTAAAAGGACCCATGCCCCGGTCATCAGACCACTAGCATGTTGGAAAGGCAATTTCATTTTGAAAAAATATCACCTCTCACGATAAAACTAATGTTAATTAAAATGGTGTTGGGTTGTTGGTTTTTTTTTTAGATTTTTAAAATTTAAGAGAGAGAGTGCGAGAGAGCACGAATGGTGGGGAGGGGCAGGGGGAAAAGGAGAAGCAGACTCCCTGCCCAGCGGGGAGCCCCATGTGGGGCTTGTTCCCAGGACCCCAAGATCATGACCTGAGCCCTAGGCAGACACTTAACTGACTGAGCCACCCCGGCACCCCATAACTCTATTGGTTTTATCTCTATTTTGTAGATTTATTTTGATTCTGTAGTTGTACCAAAGTTGCAAGCCCAGACCTTTTTAATTTTATGTTCATGCAAGTTTATAAAATTATAATAATTTACCTGATCCCAGAGACCCGTAATAATTTTGTTACTTTAACAGTAACCCATACATTATTCAAATTTGAGGATAACAGACTTTAGACTAACCATTCATAAAGCTTTAGTAGATAAGATTTCAAGGACTCAAGTATAGGAATAAGATTCTCTTAAAAAAAAAGATTCTCTTAATGCAGTTTACTTAACAACTAGATAGGCAGTTAAATGTTTTAATGTAATAATTATACTTTGAAAAGAATATAAATTAATATGTGTGCTTTTAGTAAATGCCTAATATGTCACAACCTATTAACTAGCTTTGACCTACAGCGATGGTATTCATAAAGCTTCAGTGACTTTATCTAGGAAGCTCACATATTGTATTTCTAACAACTCTAACTGGAAATAACCAGGAGATGTTAACTAGCTATTTGTGAAACTTAAAATTTCATTATCAGCAAAAAGCTCTTTCAGCATCATCAGAATGTACTCAGCCACTCTTTCCTGGACACTATCAAAGAAACACGTGATTCGAACAATTCACACACACACACACACACACACACACAATGACAACCTAAGAGGTTGGCTGATACATGAATGACTCACCCTCTCACGCCCCAAAAGAAAAATCTACCCCCCCCCCCTTTTTTTTAAAGAAAAGCCTTAAGGGGAGAAACTAACCCCTTCATCCTCTTACTTGACAGCTGGTTGGCTAATATAACTAGAAAAGACAGAAATGCCTTATTCCTTACATTTTTAAAAAATATACTTACTCCAAATAAAGACTTTATTAGTAAATTAAGAAGGGTATTTGGGGAAGAGAACACATTATAAATACATTTTATTTTTTAAATCACAACACATATGCCCACCCAAAGAACTTTCAAAAATCCATTTTGAGAAAAAAAAAAAAAAAAAAAAAGCTAAGCAGCTCTATTTTTCCAAGCCAAAGAGCTAAAGGGAAGGTTTGGCCATACAGATAAAAAGGAACCTTAGCTTCCTGATCTAGAGCAAATCCAATGCCTAAATTATAGTCCCTTCAAAGGTAAAACGAGAAGACAATTAAGAAACCTGCAGAATGGAAATGCACTGCCCACTAAAAGTTTGTGCTTGCTTTGAGCAGCTTTAAAAACTCTTGTCTTTGTTAGAAGTTACTTCATGTAGTGCTTGAAGTTCAGTTCTTAAATATGTTTTAACTCTTAAAGTAAAACTTTCAAAGTGATTCAGAAGGTTAGAAGCTTGGTTTTTACAGCAAAACCTCATTTTTCTAAGATTAGTAAAGCGAGAGGGGATGAGGTGTATTTATTTCTCCCGGTCCAAATTACATAATCCTCCAAATTAATGCTATCCTTTGAAGTTTCTCATACCCTGATTTGGGCAGCATTGGTCCAATCCCACAGAAAGGGGCATTAACCAAGCGCGTTTCTGCACCTCACAATGGGAAGGAGAAAGAAGTAACCAACCGACCGACTCACTATCTAGAGCTCCTTTGCACTTTGCCCTGTGCCTGACACTGCGCGGGGTGTAAGGAAGGTGTGCTGCAGACTGCAGGTGAAGCAACCAGATTTCTTCCACGGAGAGCAAACTGCAGGCCCCAGAGGCACTCCAAAAGGAAAAAGCCAGAAAGCCCCTCCCTGCACTTCAGTAAAGGTTAATGGAAGGATGGATGAAGTCCCAGCCAACCTAACCCACCGACTCCCTCCCTACACCTCCACCCCCGCCTGCCGGAAAGGCCAGGACTCACCCCTCGCAGGAACCAGTCGGTAAAGTGGGCGGCAGCAGGGCGGGGCCACAGGAGCAGCCGCGGGAGCCAGCGCCCCTGCGGCAGCTTCCTGATTCGGAAGGAGGGAAGGAGGGAAGGAGGGAAGGAGGAAGAGAGGCGGGTGCGAGCCGGCGATCCCGCCTACACCCAGCCCGACCTAGGCGTGCCGACTCTTCCGACTCTTCCGTCTCAGCCACCCAGGAGGAGGCTGAACCGGCGGCGCACTGCTACCTTCTAGTCCCTTCCAACGTGAGCAGCCGTAAGCTCCCACCAGGAATGGAAATCCCCCCGACCCACTTCCCAGCCTCCAGGGCAGCCTCGGTGGCGGAGAACTGCATCAACTACCAGCAGGGGACCCCCCACAAGGTGTTTCTGGTGCAGACTATCAAACAAGCCAGCATGGAGGTGAGTCCGGCAGAGGGCAGTGGGCGGGAGCCGGCATCTCCTTGCTTGCCCTCCACTCCCGAGGGTCTCAGCCTCGTTCTCAGCGCGACTTCCCTTCCACTCCACCCTTGCCTGTTTTGGGACTCGCTGCTGACGTCAGGTCTAGGGAAGTTAACATTTCTGGGGATAGCTGACACTCCGGGACAGCCAGGGCTGTTTGTTTTTTCTTGGAAAGGCAGAGACATAGACACAGTTTTTAATGGGCACTATTACAAAGAAACGGGAAAATGTTCTAAATGTGGGCCGGCATTTTACCCTTTTCTGAGTGAACCCTGTAGAACCATTCAAAAGAATCTCAAAACTGCTACTACGTTTCTCATCTACTCCAGTAGTAGATGAGAAACAAACCTCCCGTCTGAACCAACAAAACCTCCCGTCTTCCAAACAATACTTCTTTGCCTAAATTTTAGGAACAATCTTTATCAGACCCTTTGACCAAAATGAAGGGGGAAGCAAACAGACAAACTGACAACCAAAGTCAGAGAACAAAAGCATTGTGGGCTGAAGCTCTGCCTTAACTACCCAAACACCATGGCCACTGACTCCTCCTGTAAAAGATATGCTCCCTCTGGCAAAG